TCTAAGAGAAAAAAAAATCATTGTAATAAATGTTGTAGTAATATCTTGTATGAGTAATTTGCTAAATTTCACACTTTCTCAATAATTTTAAAATTTTACCGAATCGAAGAAATTTTAGAGGCCGGACTGGAAGTACTTGTAATTTGGAGACCTTTGCATTCAGACATGGAACATAAGAAGAATAGAAACTCTCACATTTCTACTTTAAAAATATAATTGCTGGAGTTGAAATGCTATTCTCTGTTAGGATTAATTAATTGATGTTATTTGTTATTTTATATTATGCCTACAACACTGTTACTGGCAACACTGTCAGATGTGATGTCAGTGATCACAACAATGTATACTCCCTCGATATGGCTTCTATGTGTGTAGTGTTCTTTCAAAATAAACGTTTCTGTATTGTCTGTGTTTGTTTCATAAAGAAACCCTAACCATTATTAACATTCTCTACCTTTCTAGATGGCATTCCTATTCTTTATTATAAGTATTATTTTGATTTTCTGGGGCTACAGAAGCTTTGAGCGAATTTTTTATTACAAACATATTCCTGATATTTCGTTGCTTTGTAAATCTGTCAGAATGAATAGTTAATGTCATGAGATTGTGATACGTATTTCGATTTTTAATACCCAGTATACTTTCATAAAACGATTGGTTCAAAATAAGAGATGGAAATCAAGATAGATCTCCTTGGCAACAATCGTCCTGCTTCACAGCATGGACGCCGACTCTCCATTTTCACTGAGGGAGCAAAGGAAAAAAAATAGCTGGAGCTCATATTATGAGTAAAAATTCAACATAATTATTATGAAACGAACAAATATAATACTGAATATTTAGAAGTAAATTTATGTAAATATGTTTGTACAGTTGTATTATTATTTTCTTTTTTAATATGTATATATTTGAAGATATCTAAAGTAAAAAATATTTGAATGCATTAAACATGAGGGGAGGGAAACAGTATCATTAACTTTGCCAGCTAAAAATGAATAATGTATAAAACTGAAATATTTTCGATTTCTTAGTTTGTACTACCCTAATATGTAATAATTTCTATAAAATATATTTATTTAATTTTTTTTTTCGAGCCGCAGAAAATTGATCAGAATATCACGTGACAATAGAGTGATGCACATGAGGGATGGCTGAATCATAAAATCCTAGGATATGTTGACAAATATTATTATCTTTGAATATAAATGACAATGTGAATAACAGGAACATTTACGTCCCGATAAAATACTAGGCCCTAGCCTTTCCAGGCTGGTCGACTTTTCTTGTTTTATTAATAAATTTTAGTTTACATATTTTATTCATTTAATGAGGCTTATTTATTGTTAATTTAAACCTTTTTTACTTCAAATTATTGAGGAGGGGGGACGGAATGATATTATCGCAAAATGATATTTCCTCTAAACATTTCTACTTACTACTTTCCCTCATCCCCCCGAAATCTAAACCTATGCTTCATTGATGCATTCTATTTTGCGTTGCTCTGTCTATTTTTTTAATCCCCTGCCTAGCCATTTATGGCATACGGGAAAGGTATTATCCTACAAGTTATCAACCTATTCACAGCAGAATGGGACGGTCATGATTCAGTCTGTGGGCATGCGTCGTAATAAATATAAATAGGCCAAATTTGGAAGAATCAGCGTTGCTAGATGTTAAGGTTACTATATAGTGTTTACTTTCACTTACCTATATATGCAATATATAGAAAGGGTAAGTATTAGAATTGTGAAAATTTTCGAGTCTGAGTTTTCAACGGAAATACATATTTTGTGGTCTCTTGAGTCCAAATAACCAAGTCTGGTTAACCAAATAACCAAGTCTGGTTAACCAAATGGTCTGTGTGTTTGTTTATGTATGTTATCAGTCTACTTCAAAAACGAAAAGTTGTATAAAATTTAAGATTTTTATAAGCTTTCGATGTTACAGCAACATTTTCGTCAAAATCGGCAACCAGGAGTGGTACTTTATATAACTGATTTAATGAATTATTGGGGGAAGCTTTCCGACTGTTCTACATATCATGGGGGACAAATATTCAGGACGCAGTCAATATAAGATTTTTTTATTTGTGCCAACGTTTCAACTCAAATATGTGGGTCATCATCAGGGCTGAAAATTTTGAAAATACAATCAGAGATATGATATTATACGACCGTCTATGATAAATAATAAACTATAGTTATTGATGGTACATGAATCTTAACTATTATTACAATACACAATATTAAAAATGAAATATGTAAAAAGTTATACAAACTAAAAATAATGTATATAATCCATTTATAAAAATTTGTAATGTTTTCTCTTACTAACCGTGGTTCGAGCACTGAAGGCTTTCAAGTACTGACACATTGGTAGGTAAGTGAAAAGGTCAGAGGGAGGATTTCCCAGTTGTCCTTTTTCAGATAGCAAAAGGTAAGTAAACATAGTCAGAGGGGGAGGAAGTAACATTTCTGTTTGTAGAATGAAAATAATTTGCTGACTAATTGTTTTAGATATGTACAAGATTTGGGTTGTTTCTTATGGTTACGAAATTGTGACTGTTGGCTAGGAATGAAATGAACATAAGCAAGAGGTGCCAATCAGTATAAATACAACATAGTTTGATTAAAGGTACACAATGGTTGGCCAAATAATATTTATAATAAAGAAAAGTGTAATGGATTGAAAAGATATTTAGGATTTTATATAGGAAAGATATTATACAGTATTTTAAAATAACAATGCTAATCATATTAAAAGTATGTTTAGTATCATAATAGTACATAGTTTTAATAATATAAGTATAAACATATCTGTGTCTGTTCATAGTATATATTTGTATTGAGAATGGGCATTATATGCATATATAATAAACGTAGGAGTAGTTATCTATGTAAGTTGACGACAAAATGGGAAAATTGAAAAACAATATTTTAATGATTATAGACTATTGTTTTAGGAGGCGGAAAACATTCGAATATGTGTTGCAGATCTTTTCTTTGTCTACTTTGTGGTTTACCGAGTTATTTTTTTCCAAATTGATGAATATAGCTTCAGAAAGTAGTCATTTTTGGTGATTGGGAACTGTGGTAAGTTTGGTTGAGTTTTCAAAATCAAATGTGGGTTACGGCGTGTTCGACTAGTTTCGAGGCGATGCTGTATTTGTATTGATATATTCGTTTATTAAAATAGTTTTGGGTTTCTTCTATATAAGGAGAATTGCAGTTTGTGCTAGAGCATGTGATATGGTATACAATATTTAATTGTTGTAGGAGCGGAACCGGATCTTTGCGTTTGGTGAATAGATTTTTTTAATTTACTGTTATATTTGAAAACTATTTGTAGATGGGGAAATTCGGAAGTTAAAGCTAAAATTTTCAGACCTGAAGATGAACCACATGTTTGGGTTATAACATTGACACAAATAAAAAATTCTTAAAATGACTGCGTCCTGAATATTTATCACCCATAATTGATCTAACACATTTTTAGGATTTCTCCAAAAAAGGCTCTGACGGTTTTGATTAAACTCAGCATATCAGTGTATTATTAAGCAGTTTTTATATAATGTAGATTTTATTCTCATTGATGTCCTCTATCAGGGCTTAAATAGCTAATTTTCAATATTGACTTCCTCTAAAATGCCTTTATTTATTTTTTATTTGAAATAATTAACCATTTCACATTAATCTTTGATATAAAAAAATTGTTAAATGTAAAATATGTAAGAATTTGATAATTAACTAACGGATAATAGTTGTAATAGAAGAATCAAAGGAATACGAGCTTACCTCCTCTTTATTCTTTAAAAATTGTATTTATATTTATACAACTCGTATTAGCTTCTCCCTGAGGAAGATCTCGTGTCCTGCTGTGACTATAGACAATAAACCAGTTCCCTCAAAAACACACGTACGGTATCTTGGACTATACTTGGACAAAAAACTCACCTGGAACATTCACACTAAATTAAAAAACAAGAACTGACCAGACGATACAAACAACTGTCACATCTTTTAGACTACAGATCTCCACTCAACTTACTAAACAAGCGACTAATCTACACCACTACTATACTTAGACCTATTTGGACATACGGAGCAGAACTTTGGGGTTCCGCAAAACTCATACAAATAAACAAAATTCAAACCATACAATCCAAAAAAAACTTTGTAAATTCGTCAATGCTCCTTGGTTTATTTCAAATCACACCATACACACAGACATGAACATACCAAAAGTAAAATCCTACATACACAACAAGTACACATTTTATTCGTCTACTCTCAACCATCCAAATCCACTCGTTCTATCTCTATCTTACTCCCTGTTACCTGGTGAGCCTCAAAGACTACTAAGAAGGCAGTGGCCTAGAGATCTTCTGCTGAAAAGTTAAAAATATCAAGAATTGAAGAAGACAGAATAAACTTCAACACATTTGCTTCATGCGCTACAACGCAGTGGCAAATTTAATGAAAAATAAATATTGATTATTTATAACCGCAACTCTTATAACTAGAGCTGAAAATGTTTAAGATACTTTATGCTGGATTTTTAACAATGTCAGGACCAACAACGCATTTTCGACGCTCTAATGCACATGGATTGGAAAGGTTTAATTTTATTAAATTACTTTAATTATTATTTACTTAAAATCTTGTTTGTTTATCTAACACCAATTTAGATTAAAACAACAAAAACAGAATCGTATCAGCAATATCGTAGATATATTTTTATAATTGACATTCAAGTGATTGTAAAAATGTAAAGAAAACTTACCTCATAATAGTTTATTAAAATAGTGATGCAAGAAAAAATTGTAATTATCGAAGTAACCGCAACTAGAAAACGTACTCATATTATGCCATATTAATCAGTATTTTAGGTATCTTTAGCTCATTTAATGTAATTTTTTAATCGCACCCTCAAGATGAAATGAAGTGGTTTTATAAAAACCACTCCGAACATGTACTCGAAGACATAACAGTTGTGCCAGCATTCGAATGTCGTCCACCATGGAGGCACAAGAGGACCGACCGTCCCAACTTAGAATTTATTTGATCGTCTTAGCTGGTAAGTCTTAAAATAATATATCCACGGCATCAAAGAAATCTAAACTAATTATATGTGTTTTAGTCAGAATAATCATCCGATATGATTGAAGAGACGATGGATTATCCATATCTCAAACATAACAATAAACAATGTTCTTTATACTCGACTAAGCGAAGAGACACAAGAATTATGTGTTTGGGTTGTCTGCTAAAAGCAATGTAAACGAACGGCTGGATGGATTTTAAGTTTAACACAAATTATTCGGTGAGGAACCCTCAGTGTTTTGAATAAATATCCGCTTTAAGTACTGAACAAAGATTAAGTAAAACGTGTTTAATCAATTAGCTAAAAGCTTTGTAACGATTTTTTAAGCGAACGTCTGGATTTATATTTAAGTTCGATGGCTCAAATTTTTCGGTGAGATCCCTTGAGTGTTTTGAAACAATGTGGGCTAAAAACACTGACCCATGATTAAATAAACTGTGTCAATTAATCAATTTTCTAAAAGGTATGTAATGATTTTACGAGGGAACAGGTGGACGAATTTTTATGTTTGATATTTTAAATTATTCGTTTAAATTCTCTGAGTGGTTTGAAATTAAAGCTAAACAAGAGTTATTTGTTTGATTTGTCCGCTAAAAAGTATGGAACGATGTTTCGAGCGAACTGATGGATCAATTTTTAAGTTTGATGGCTCAAAATATTCATCGAGATCCCGTCATTATCTTCTTGTAGTCCACTCCATCGCTTCCTTTTAATTTTTTGGGCATAATCCTTATTTAGTTTACTGAGCAGAATCTCTTTTATTATTCTTCTAGCTGAATCTATGCCAGGAGGAATATCTGGTTTGGTCTTTCCAGATCCTATTCTAGTCTTGTTATTCCTTTTGATATCGCAATGGGTTATCTGAAAAAAGTGGGCTAAAAACACTGACCCATGATTAAATAAAATGTGTTAATTATTCAATTTTCTAAAAGGTATGTAATGATTTTACGTGCGAACAGGTGGATCGATTTTTAAGTTTGATACTTTAAATTATTCGGTGAGATTTCCTCAGCGTTTTGACAGTGAAGCTACACGAGAGTTATTTGTTGGGTTTGTCCGCTAAAAGGTACGAAACTATTTTTTGAACGAACTGATGGATCAAAATATTCACTGAGATTCTGCCATTATCTTCCTGGAACCCACTCCATTGCTTTCCTTTAATTTGTTAAGCATGTTTCAATTTTAGTATACTTTGGAGACGAATTTTATTATTCTTTTAGCTGAATCTATGCCATGAGGAATATCTGGTTTGGTCTTTCCAGATCCTATACTAGCCTCGTTATTTCCATTGATCCTGCAATGGGTGGTATCCACTGGAAAGTGGATTTTTTTTTTTCAACTGGTCCAATTACAGAGGGCATTTAAGGGTGTTTGGATTTATATTGTATCCATTTTGGAGAAGCATGATGGCCGCCTGCGACTTAACAAAGAAAGCAACTTTATGTCTTTTGATTCAACCTATCTCTCAAGTTACAACAGAATGGTCTTCACTTCTCTTTCAAAGTTTGTGGGTACCATTCCGACTTGGGAGGCAAATTGGTACTCCTTTAAATAGACTCCAGAGCCGCTATGTTTGAGTGCTTCCAGTGCAGAACCAAAAGTATATAAATAGAGCCATTCTGCTTCTGGAAATCGTTTTTAGGGATGATGCCTTTAGTTAGTAAATTTGTGTTGTGCTCTTAGAAACTTTCTCCAGAAGATCACAGTGTATAACAAATTGACAAGTGCGTGGAGAAGATGAAAAGATATATTTTTTTCATATTGGCATTACATACCTTTAGCAGATTTTTTGCCTCCTTAACCTGCCTTCTCCATCTCTACCTATCTTTGGCTATATTTTTCCATTTATCACTATACAGCTCTATTGCATCTTAGTTGATTCGAACTATTCATCTTATTTTTGGTCTAGTAGGTTGTCTTTTCCTAACTATTGAGCCATTAATTGCTGTATAGATGCTTCTTGATGAATTGCTCTCACAGACAATATAGAAAACGTAGAATAATAATTAATAAACATTATTAATTTTTTTGAAAAATCCCAACAATTGGCATACCCTCTTTTTAACAATTTGTTACCAGCCAAAATTCCAAAACGTTGGCAACAAATCACATGATATCGATGTTTTATTAATTTACTAGTAAGCTCTAGAGAATAAGGTCAACTCAAGCCTGAGGTGAGCCCCATCACCTTTTATATTACAGATGAAGAACGAAATACTTAGAAACGACAAAAATCTAAAAATAAACCTTACAATGCTTTTAAGCAGTAAAAGGAGTATTATTAAGACAATCCAAGCATTAAAGACAAAAATAAGTAGAAAGGGCCTATGAAAAAAAAAAAACATTATAATAGTTAATAGATATAAATATAGTAACTAATATAGGATGTCGGATAAGTAGATGGGAATATTCAAAGAGATGATAACAGTCTTCAAGAGCTACAAAAACGTTTATAAACAATAGCCCAATTTTCAACAGGAAAGTAGGAAATTAAAGATTGCTGTTTTTTAAATATATTTTTTTTAAAATAAGAAGCGATAACTAAAAAAATATTTAATTTAACTAATTAAAAATTAATTCACTGTAAATTATTTTCAAAGAAAATTTTCTTGAAATGAAAGTAGAATTTGTCATTGTTAAAAGCATTTGAATAGGATTTTTTAGAGAATGAACTATCATAAGTTTTTTGTTTGTAAAAATATCACGAATTATTCATGGTTTATTTTTATCACCCTAAAACTATACTACAGATTTTAGAAGAACCGTCTTGTTGAAATATAATTATGGCCACATTAATGAAGTTGAGGGTTTATTTAGAAATATTTGCCTGAAGTTGTTTATAAAGGAATGTGTTGTTTCGATATTCTGTCACCTAAAAGTACCCTTTTATTCAGAGAAAATGACCACAATAAATTATGGCAGACTTTTAATTTCTAATTAAATACATTTATTATGTAAACACAGAAATCAAAATTTTACAATTGAGTAGCAAATTTCATCAGCCATTTCCAATTAGAAGCCGTTATTTTCATGGCCAATATAGATACTTTGGCAATCTGATTTTCGCGGTTCTTGAGGCACAAGCGAAAGTTTCATTAAAACAGAAATTTGAAAAAAAAGCAATGGAAATAAATAAAACCTAACTGTCCTAAAGTTACCCACTCAGTCCCAAAGTTACCACATCTTAAGGTACATCAAACAAAGCGAAATATTGGACAAAATATTTTTATTTTTTTATTACAATTAAAATTCTCTAAATACTTTGTTGGGTTAACATGTATACCTAAAATAAACAAATGAAATTCAATTAATTAAACAAATTAATTAATTTTTTTATTTTTTATTTGCTGTTATTTAACATCGCATCTTAATAACAAATGAATCTCAGAATAACTATTAATATAAGATGAAATATTAAACTCAAAATTTTATTTTTTTAATGCAATAAAAGTTCTTACTTAAAGGTTTTACATGGTACAAAAATAAATATTAACTTTATTTATTCCTAAAATATATTTTTTAGAATCAAGTGTATTATCAGTTTGATTGATGCAGTTTAACCCACACATGGTCAATATATTGATGAAATTCGATATTGATTTAATAATATTGAACTCCTACATTGTTCCAGGGCATAGTGTCATAATAACGTTGTTGTTTTTTTTTTCCATTATTAATAATTCTCATGTTTTCCATAATAGTATAATTTGAAAAAAAAAAATTCTGTTACTTATCAACACCAACTCCATCAACAAATCCAACTCTTTTTCTCAAACAACCCTGATGTACATTCCCACTTATATCAATATTTTGTTTTAATTTACTTAATTTTTTGCATGAGATTCAATTATTTTCACTAAATAAAGTTTAATTTCAAAGAACGCTGACTTAATTATACGGTATGTTTTGCAGTGAGCACAATATACCTCTCGACTGGCATGGTGGGAGGATGGTCCTCTCCAGTCCTGCCTAAACTGGACTTGACAGTACACGAGCAAGGTCTGGTGACGTCAATTGCCTTCTTTGGAGCTGCTCCAGGACCCTTCGTCACCACCTTCTGTCTAGACACCATCGGGAGGAAAGGGACCCTATTCATTATATCGTCCTTTTTTCTGGCTTCTTGGATCATATTATTAATATCTCAGAACGTTTATGTGATCTATATCGCAAGACTCCTTGCTGGCCTAGGAATTGGTGGATCCATTAGTGGAATCCCAGTTTATATATCTGAGGTGGCACTAGTAAGTATCGACTTTTATTTATAAGGATGATAAATCTATGATTTTTAAACAAAGTCTTGCATCTCTCAACTAAAATGCATTGTTCCGGCCAATGTGGCTGAAAAACACATCACAATTCAGACTAGATCTTTCATAAATCATTTGAACAGGAGAAACAGATTAAATAAGTAATGTCATTTAAATAAAATTGTAAATTAATTAATAATTAATATGTAGGTTATTTTTTACTCTACAAGATATAAGTCAATAAAATGTCTGAAAACTAGAGAAAATACCCAAATTTCTTAAAATTAACTGTAGGGTGGATCTCATAATTTGATGCATTTGTGGAACGAATTGATTTCTTTAAACTTAATAAGTAAACTGTTAACAAACCATTACTTAATAACACTATATACATCAATTGTTTTACTAAATTGTATTATTCATTGCAAATATTGTATCAAACCCCTAATTCCTATCCTAAATCCATTTTATCCATTGTTTTATTCTGTCATAATACTTTTCTGCTGTAAATGTTCCACCTATCATTATCTAATTCCTAACTTTTCAGTATTGTTTTCATTTCAGTTATTTGTGTATTATATTTAATTACTTCTCTTTTACTTCTATAATTTGTTATATACCCTTATTTATTTTATTTTCTAATTATTTAAAGTATTGTAATGTATCTGTATACACGTTATGTCGCAAGATGGTACGTGTAGAAATATATATAAACTGTAATGTGGAAAAAAAATCTGGCTACAGAAGCAGAAGCATATTTCTTAATAAATTTTATTTTTTTCTAGGCTGAAATCAGAGGTCGTCTTGGAGCGGTCAGTACAATGATGATGTCACTTGGAGCTCTCATCATGTACTTGGTTGGACCTTCTGTCAGTTATACCACCATATCAATCTTTGGAATGGCCTTAGCTCTATTAGCTTTTGTCATCTTCTTTGTCCCAGAGTCTCCTTTCCACCACATCAATAAAGGAAGAAAAAAGGAAGCAGAAATGGCTCTGCAAAAGTTAAGAGGATACAGCACGCAGGAAAAGTTGGAAGAAGAATTGGAGGAAATTATAGTAAGTTCTCTCATTTCAAATTAATGTTATCTTTAAATATTTTAACAATCTAGACAATTTATCAAAAAATATCACTCTAGTTTTCGTAACCATTCTCAAATTTTTAGAACAATGTGACTGGACTAAATGAAATGTTCAATAAATTTATTTGACTATTTCAGAAAACTAACACTCAGAAAGAAGAGAATGCCATCGGCTGGCTGGAAGGGTTGAAACGTAAAGCAGCTTTAAAGGGGATTGGACTTGGCATTTTCCTAAGTTCTATGACTTATCTCTCCGGCCTGGTCGTTCAAAGTGCCTACGCTCAGATCATCTACACGAGCTTCAAGCTCAGTTTTTCAGCAAGCTACATTGGTGTTGTAATTACTATAGCTAGTATCTCATTCTCATTTCTCCCTGCTTTGTTGGTTAACAAGTGCATTGGTATGAAATCCGGTATTGTCATTTCTGCATTTGGCTGTGGATTGTCATGTGTAAGTGTTATTTTACTGGTTCTATTTAGTCTATATTAGATTCTATATATTATTTTTCTTAAATGTATCATTTACTTTCAGGTATTCCTGGGTGTTTATTTTTACTTTATCAGAGCTGGCTATGACCTCTATGACTACAGTTACATATCTATTGTTCTTTCTGTTGCCAATACTGTCTCTCATTCCTTTGGTAAGTAATAAAATCTCTACCTAACACTTCATCAAAGTATCATTATCAACATCATAAAACATCTTCTCAGTGAAAACATAATTTTTTCTAATTAGATTCTCAGTCTCATTTTACTTATTTATAAGATTTAAATGTTTCTTGACTCTGAATGTATAGTTATTATATATCATTCTAAAGAAATAAGGAAGTAAGTTTCTTCAACAATTAAGATTAACAAATTGGAGTCAGTGAAGCTTCCTTATGGAATCTGCTTTAGAGGGATAGAAGAAGAATATGTTAAAAATATATTTGTTTTTATTTATAAGATACACACATCTTTGTCAAGATAATATAACGATCTGAAATATTTTATATTTTTACTAAGAAAGAAGTAAGTTGTTCTCTAGCAACATTCAATTATATAAATTAGTAAACTTTCTCTATTTTCAGGATTGGGTGGCTTAGTCTACACATTGGAAGCAGAGCTGCTGCCTATGTCTGTTAAAGGAATCGGAATGGGAATAGTTGTCTGTTCCGGCTCGCTCATAGGTTTTGGTGTCTTGCAAATGTTCCCTATCATTGCAAGCGCTTATGGATATTCTGCTGATTTTTTTGGGTACCTTTTCTTCTAAAATTTACTTATTTTTCAGATTTATACCATATCGTGTTTCTCATTATTGCAATTCATTATTATTATTTTATTAATAATATGAGTTTTTGTATTAAGTACTAGGTACAAGTTTATGCTAGGAACATGATTCAAATGTTACAATGGAATTTAAAACTTAATTTTCATTAATTTTGATATTTTGAATATTCATCAAATATCCTACATATAGATCTTTATATTTTAAAACTATAGTTTTTCAAAGTAACAATCTCTTTTCTGGCTCTCAGGAGCGATGGATTTTGATGAATGAGATATCAAATAAAACGGTATTAAATGGAGCAGTGGTGAGACATCGTATTATGCTTCCGAAATTGCAGGATAAAATGTTCCAAAAAAAAAAAGGATGAAAAGAAATTTGATTTATGAATAACATTAAAAATATATAATTTTTTTTATGATTAGATCCATAATTACTTAAAATTTTTCTAAATTCCCTTAAAAAAAAAAAGTCATCGAAAACAGACCATTATTAGCCATGATACAGCTTATAGTAAAAATATTCATGGTTGGTATGTTATTGTGATTGAACTACAATGATTTAACTGAGAAAATGGAAATTATTTCCTATATCACATAATACCTTTACTTATTTCTATATTATATTGTTAATTATTCACTCAATGATATACTTGGTGAATTATTCGCATGGGCCAACTAGTATTATTATAATTTTGGGTTGATGGTTGACTGTAGTGAATAATGAAGAGAAGTATGGTTGTGGTGATCAGTCATAAAAAAATTGGCAAAAATAAATGATGTTTATTTTAACATTTGCTGGCATTTCCACCTGAAGTTCAGGTCTTAATCAGGGCTGAGAAAAGAACCAGATAACAAATAGGTATGAAAAACATAAACAGTTTAGGTAGAAAAACTTACAGTAAAATGAAGTAGAAAAGTGAACATTAAAGTAAAATAACGTAGGTAGAATAATAACAATAACAAGAACTAAGAAATAAATAATAATAATGCCTAAAAAGTGCGGACTAATGAAATAAACATAATCAAAATAAGGTAACATAAGAACTACAAAATGGTAATCTTAGAATAAAATGTAAAACAGAGAAAAGGAATATGAAGGTATATAAGAAATAAATAGAAATAGAAAATTGAGATATTGCAAAGTCTATCAAAATATACTGACTACGTATAAGAGAATAAAAAGTTAAAATAAAATATAAAAATAAATGAGCAAGTGTATCAATATATACAAAGTTAAGATGGATATATGGAAAATAAAGTGAGGGAAAAGAAGAAATAAGGATAAAACTAAGATAAGATGGATAAACAACCTAATCGAAGCAATCGCTTGCAAAGATTTTGTATTAATTTTGATTATGGTCCAAAAGTAATAAAGTAATAAAGATATGGTCCAAAATTTAAGAGTAGTCTCCTTGTATATTTTTTTAAATATTAGTTTTACTATATTTTGCTATAAACTTAGTCCTTTGTAGTCATTGTTATTGATTTCTTAATATCAATATCATTACATCTCAATTAAGGCTTATTGATAAAAAAAATGTACAATACTAAGCTCAATATTTTTTTTTTTATTACAGTTTGGGCATTATAATGCTTGTATTTGCAACTCTTGGTATTTTCATTCTACCTGACACAACAGGGAAAACACTTCAAGAAATTGAAGAACTTCTCTCCTAGAAGAATTGAAGAATCTTTAATATATGGATCTGTAATTTATTATATTGTGATTGTATGGAAAACTAAAAGTTTTTTTGTTTTTTTTTTAATTATTTCTATTTGTTTTTTATTGCATACATTTTATAAGAGTGCCTTAATTTGACAAGATATATTTTATAACATATAATTAGTAGTGAGAAATAGGAAAATAAAAATGACTTTTATATCAAAAATATATATTTATTAGATTTTAAAATATCAAGAGGTAATATAAAAGTTTTAATAATACTTTCTTTTCAACATTGTTTAAAAACTTAAATTTAATTAATATTTTAAAAATTATTCTGAGTCATTTCTACTACCACATACAAGATAACCATATAGATATGAAAATTATCAGAAACAAGAACAAATGACAAGGTTGATAATAATTGAATCCTGTTTCCTAAACTTGAAAAATACATTAAAATAATAAGAAATATGGATATTTCAAGAACACTACAAATTATTACTTGATAAAATTAACAATATATAGACAAATAAACATTTGAACATTAATCTCAAAAGTTTGAAATATTCCTACAAAAAACAAATAATAATTTTATAAGCCTTGTTTCATTCTATAACGGATAAAGTAGAAATAATATTGTCTTCTTGAAGTGAAAAAAACATTTGAATGTACATGAAGAACAAATTCAAAACACGCCAATTGCTTACAAAGTTTGCCACTGGGTTTATCAATTTCAAGAAATAAATTATTATGTAAGTAACTTCAAACATTTTAATCCTCTTATAACAGGTAGAAGGGGTTAGGGAATGAATAAAAAGAGGGTATAAAACAGAAAGTTTAAGTGTTAGCTTGGTAAAAGGTAAAATCTTCTAGCAGCAAACTTTGTATTCCAGTATACCTGCTAAATGTTAAAGTTGTTTTTTTAAAAATTTTAAATTTATGTGTGAGTTTTTATACAATGTAATGGTTGAAAACATATATAAATTATCCTATCAAGAGATCATTTCTACCTTTACCTGTACCTTAAATGTAAATAAAAAAAGCTTTGAATGTTTAAAATTTTAACATTTTTAATTCCTGTAGTCTGTTAAGAAATACACCAATTTAAGTACTAATTTGTTTTTTTATCCTCTGAAACAAATTAAGAACAAAATATTCAGAGACAACATTGGTATGTTTTATTTTCTGAATTAAAATCTTAAAAAATTGTAATTGCATGTAAAAAAAATAAATATTTATAATTTACATCTCTATATCAATAGCTCCACTGAAAGAAACATTAAGAACAATTTTATTGCAAGCGATTGTTTTGAGCTTTTCAGTTCAATCTTGGCCTTGAATGTATACAAAATTCAAAACAGAAAAGTTACATAAAACATAACATTTGGTCTTTATGTTGCAACAGAAATTGAAAGTTAATATATTAAAAAACATTTTTTTTTCTTTCGTCCCTTCAGTATTTTTAATTTTTTACTTATTTACAATGTAAATGTTCATGTGAACATATAATAATTATTATTAATTATTATTATTAATTAAATTAATAATAATTTAAAACATTTTCTGTTTATCGTATTGAACTAATTTTTTGTGAATTTCAATAATGTGATTCCCACTAATCTCATTTATTTCACTTTTCTGCTCACTGTCAGTTTTATTATCTACACTACTTGTTGTACAGTATATTTATTTGTACACTATTATTTAAGATTTAAAATGGATATTTAGTGAAATATTAAAAGTCAAACAATGTTCCTCTATATGAGGAATTACTTTTTCAATTCATTTTTAACATTTTTCATTCTGCAAGAAGCTCCTGAATTTCTTGTAGAGTCTTTCCAGTTGTGTCTGGTATGATGAATATGGCTATTGTTGTAGAGACAAACAGTATTGCTGCAAACCTGTTGAACCAAAAAGCAATCGTTATGTATAAAGTTTAAATTTTTTCTCTTGGAAGTACAAACCATGTATTACTTTTTAGCATAAGATCCCGTCTTACATTACTTACAAATAACACAATTTACTAACACAAGGAGAAATATATTATAATAGAATAATTTAGAATAATTATTCATCCTATTTCTAATTAAATGAAACATAGAATAATCTGAAGCAGGTGAATAATTAAATGTGTTTTACTTTTGATAAACAGGAATGCTGATATTTGCCTATTGATCATGTTCATAATCTATGTATAAATTATAATATTAATTTTATAAATTACTAAATTGGGTATATGTATCGTAAGGGTATGTTTTGTTAATATTAGTAGGAGGTGGTGACTTAATTAATAAGTTAATATAAGTTAACAAATTAAAATAATAATAAAATAGGATGATCACCGAAAGGTTTCGATAATTTAGTTTATAGATACTCTTTCTACAAATACACAACTGTAGGAATTTTTTAATCTGTAATGATGTCACTTAATTGTCTTGACTGTTTTGTTTATTGATTAGTATGAGTATCTGTCAAAAAATATTTATTGGTTTTCTGACAAAATTTAGTCTGTCCTATTCCTTGAGTATTAGAGCCTCTTTACATGAAGCAGTTTTGGTAGATTTTACTGTTTGATTTGACAGGTGTCGGCAAAAGGATGACAGGCTTTTATACCAGCAACCTCTGATTGATCATTGAGGATGTTTTACACTTTTGTGTGTATGATTACATATACTCACACCCACACAAGTTTTATTTCATATATATAATTTTAAAAACTGAATTAATAATGTACCCAAAAAAGTCAGTGGAATATCCGTAATCTTGAGCTATATTGGGAAACATTGCCAAGTAAAGAAATCCGATGAGAGAGCTAATGCAGCCACAGATCCCTGTACACACTCCTTTTACTGACAGTGGCAGGATCTCAGCAACTATTGGCCAGGTCAAGGGTGCAATACCTAAACAAAGTATATAGAATAGAATAGAAAAATAATTTTATTCTGGGACGAAGTCCCTTCAGAATAACAAAAAAATACAGAAATTAAAATTTTACATCTGGCCAGATAAAAACAAACATAACAAATTAAGATAATGATAGGTCATTAAAGAAAAGAAAAGAAAAAAATATTGGTTATACATACTATATACAAAATAAAATTAAAAATTCTATATAAAAAACTCTTGAAACCATACTAAGATACTTAGAATTATGTACAATGTTAAAATATAAATAAACCCTTTTAGAAAAAATAAAAAATACAGAAAAAATAAATGTATATTCTTCTTAACAGTAAAATCTGTTTCTGTTGAAAAAAAAAAAAAAAAAAAAAAAAGAGAAAAAGAAAGTCGAATCTATAATAAGTATTCAGGTCATGAGCTATATGTGAATATGGTCTTATAGATAATGTGTAATTTTACATAAAAGATTAGCTGGTGCCTGACTGTTTTTGGGACAGGAATTGGAATAGGAGGGTTTAGAATGTAGATAAGGATGCATAATGTCGAATTTTGATAGGAAGGGAATTCCAGAAACTAACAGAACGTGCAATAAAGGAGTTTTGGAACGAGGCAGATCTGTGAGAAGGAATGTAAAGGTCGGAAGGTCGAGATCTTGTGGAGAGGGAGTGGGCTGAGGACTTGAATTGGAGAAGGTTGTAGGCGTAGGAAGGACGATGATTGTTGATGATATGATAGAGTAATGTACCTAGGAAATATTGTCTTCGAATGGAGGGGAAGAGCCACTCTAACTCAGTGTAATGGTGAGAGACATGGTTATATAGTATAATAATAATAATTATTTACATTATAAAAATTTCAAATCATAAAACGAAGATACAATATGACAAATGGTCAGGATGGCAGTCAAAATTTGACATCTGAGGGAAGGTTATTCAATTTATAAAAATTTAGGTATATATTGCGGAGTATAAAATTCTTTTTAATATGACTAATGCGTAAGCTAGAAGGGAATCATGGAAGGGAATTTTTCTTTGTTCCCACAGAATTATGAGAATCAACATGTTATAAATGGACTAGAAATTTATAGTTATCATTCCACTATACGGGTTACATAATTTAATGATATCAATAATTTATTATTCATTTAAGAATAAAAAAAGAAACTCGTTTGATATCCAAAATAATAATAATAATAATAAACAAAAAGCAGTCCTGCTCGATACATGCAGGATTGTAATAAAGTTTCTAAATAAGTAATTTTTTATTTTTACGTTCATCTACATTCCCTTAAATGTTTTTTCCGGGATGTGGTTACTATTCCAGAAATCTGAGAACGCTAAGACAATAAAATAATAATAAATCCATAACAATATTTTTCGAACAACGTGCAGAAATGTAACTAAGGATCTTGTTATTGAAACTGATAATTTTATTTTCATTACAGTGAACACATAAAAGAAACCATAAGATTATTTTTTATCACATACCTAGATGACTGAATAGTGACAACAGTGTAAGGAACACTACAGAGATATAACTATAATCATGCATATTTACTCCTCCGCTGTTAATCATGTAAAAGTATACACCTAGGAGAACCTATAAAAAAAAATGTATTTTTTAAAGTTGTATTAATATAAAGAAATAAGTAAAATAATATATGCATATCATAGATAAGAAAAAATGCTTGACATTATAAATTAATACTTTGATTACCTACTGCAAGCACCTTAATCCAATTGGCTATCATGGTTTCCATAATATATATATATATATATATATATATATATATATATATACTAATACATTATTGTATCAATATATAATTTAATTTAATGATCTAGCAGTACTTAAACAATATATTGATTCATTTGGCATTTCAGCTTCAGGTGTCTGTGTGCATAAGAGAGTGACACCTTTATTCAGCTAAATATTCTTTTCAATATTCTGATATGGTTATATAAATATTTAATGTATTTTAAACAAAATATTTAAGCTATAATAGTTATGATTTCAATAATCTATAAAACTGTTTTATCTAAGATTTCATTTCAACCTCAACATAAAGAATAAGAAAACATGAAACTTTAATAATTTATATAAATTCAACAAATGATTCTCTCTGCCTTATTTATAATTAAATCAAATTATTCTTTAGTTACATCATAATTACCAACGAGATACTGGTCCCAAATCCTGACAATATGTAGGCAGTTTTTACTCCAAGACACTTGTTGATCATCAATACCGGCAGGATTAAAAATGCCGTTCCGATAAATAAATAGATTACTGGTACATAGCTGGCAGGGAAGTTTAGCTGGGCATGCTCAAAAATCATTTGATTGTAAGCATTTATAGGATTCACTCCTTGGGACTGCTGTATTGCCACAATAAAAATTCCAATGCCTAATGCCTTCAATGCCACAGGTTGTCTGATGGCTTCCAGAAAGCTGCTAGCATTCTCTTTTTCAAACAAAATGGCTCTCTGAAAAAGAATGTGTAAGTTTTATTAATTTGTCCAATTATTATAATACACACAATAAATGTTTTTGTTATAACGAACTTCAATTTGAGCCAGTTCTTCATCAAGCTTCTCCTGAGTCTTGTAGCCTCTTAACTTTTGAATTGCATATTGAGCCTCGTTCCTTCTTCCTTTCTTACAGTAATAGTAGGGTGACTCCGGAACAAAATAAAAGAACACTCCAAAAACAGCAGCCATTGCAAGACCATACAAAGCCAGGCTGGTATATGTGATGTAAGGACCGAACCCGAACATGACCAGAGTTCCAAAGCCCAAAGCTAGAAGGCTCATAGCTCCAAGGCTACCTCGGATCTCTGGCTGTAATCATTTGATCTAAGGTTCAATATAAAAAAAAAAATTGTATTTAAAAAATATTTCTATATTATTTTTTCTTCATGTCTTATTCTTATATCTAAATAAGAGGAGGGGCATGGAAACTATTACCAATTTATAATTGAAAGATTTCAGTGTAAATAACTTACTAAAAGTTAATTGTTAAATAATTTTTTTTTGGCGGAATAGCAAATGGCCTTCCGCTTTTATATCAGGGAACTAGGTTATTTACACTCGAGATGATTAAAATAAAACCCTGGCACTGGATATAGACTTTTTGAGGGTGTTTAACTGTTGTTGGGAATTCGGGAATCTAATACCTTTTGTTACACTGAGTAAGAAGAAACCTGTACCACTACAACCCATGAAGGGTCTGGGGTTCAGTACTCTTTAGGAAAAGTACTGTTTCCAAGGTCAACAGTTGTGCAAGGAGATGATTTGACCAAGATCACACTCAACCGCCAGGTTTTCCCCCTTAATTAATTATTTAATTAAAGGTACCCACTTTATAGAGGCTGGGTGTGCCCCAGGAAGGTCTCCTGACCTAGTGTCGCCCACGGCTAATGAAACAGATAAATAAATTTTCTGCCATGATCCAGGGTTCGAACCTGGGACCTTTGCATTGGAAGCTCAGTGCCCTACCACTGAGCTACCCCACTCCCGAGTGAGAAGAAACAATAAGAATATATATTTGAAATGTGGGACTTAGTAGATACACTTTGAATGAATTGATTCATCTGGTTTGTTATTCTTCAATCGTGAGGCATATAGGACAACTAAACAAATAAATGACTTTTCACTCCTGTATAACAAAATGATTTATTTCTACAACTGTAATAAATTGACTCTATTAAAGTGTTATAACTATAGACTTGATGTTCTAAATCTTGTAGTAAACTCTCTTTCCAGGTATGTGTTCCGCCTCTATGTCCAGCCTCAAGTGCCGTCTTCCAGCTGCTGCTACCTGACCAGACATTTTTCCTTCTTTATCGATTGTTTATCGATATGAGATTTTCCAATGAGCAATTGGTCCACTGCACAATTGAGTACAATTCACAGTGCAACCTCACATGCCTATATATTATATATTCCTTCTCATTCCCTCACCCAATGTCACATAAAGGAGTAAATACCGATGGATGTCTACTACATCACTATTAAAGAACTTTGATGTTTGAATACACTGCATGGAAAAAATAAGGTTAGAATTTATATCAATTGTGAATTTAAGGAAAGTAGGAACTTGAAACCTCCTCTCCCACAAATAGAAAATTAATTTTTTTCATTAGTATATTTTTGTTTCAGTTTATAATTGAAAAATTCCACTATTAATAAACTTAGAAATATGAATGAACTGAGCAAAAAAAAAAAAAAAAAAAAAAAACAGTTTAGGGTATACATCATTCAGTATACCCTAGACTGTGGCAGATTCAAGAGGGAGGGTAGATTAAAAACAAAAAATTCTTTTTCATTGATCCATTTTTAGTTACAATAATTACAATGTACTCTCTTTTTAAATTATAACACATGTATTTCAACTACTAGATGAATGAACATTTAAAAGAAAATTACAACAATATTATGTATAAAAAAAAATTAGTTTCCAAAATTAAATCCTGGTATACATTAGTGGTTCTCTATTGATTATCAAAACCTGATTTCTTTCGTGCAACTCAATGGAATTTTAAAAAAAAGATCTTTTTTTACAACTTTTCTAACAATTTTATTTGAACTTGTTATATCAATGTACACTTTAATGCTATTCAATATTAGCTAGCTGCTAACCTCATTGAAATGGTCTGACATGTCTTGACTACCAAATTTTCTTTCTCAATTGAGTAACTTTAATTTAATTTATTTGAAAAAATAATCTAGATACATGTATAATAAAAATAATTGAAAAAAAAATTATATCTAACAAACGAAGTGAATATAATGGAAAGTAACAAAAACTTATGAATAATGATTGTTGGAGTTAATATCTACTTTTATATTGTTGATTTAATTTAATGTTTTTATTTTAACATTTTAAGCCATTTGCACCTGTGCTGCACCTAGTAAATATGATTAATTAGGCATCAGCTGCGAATTTGCTTGATTAATTTAATTTTGTTATTATTGTTGGAGTAGGTCCCTTGACTAGAGCATAGAGTATTTACAAGTACGTTCCATTCCATTCTTTTTGCAGGAATCATTTTTGCTTTTGGCCAGCCATGGCTCTGATCATTTTGAACAGATTTCACCATGTCTCTCTAGGTCTTTCTCTTCTTGTTCCTTGATGATGTCAATCCATTAAACTGATCATGCATTTATTTAATTATTATATTTAACCATAACAAGTGCTTTAGGAAGACAAAATTAATGAAAAATCATTAATTTGATTTTATTAAAATTTAATCCAAACAACTAATAATAATATTATTATTTTTTTAGTTATGCCATATCATTATTAACTCTCTAATGGGATATGTGAATATGTTGATTCAATGATCAAAAATAATGATAGGTAGGTCCAGTAGTCAATACTTTTTTATGGCAACCATTAGTGTTAAGGTTTTTTTTCTTTGAAAAGCAAAATTAGTATAATAACCCCATGGATGAATCTAGTGGCATGTCTTATCTTAGGTTTATAGTGATTTTATGACTGCTGACATCACAAATGACTGAAAATGTTTATTTTCGTTTCACTTAAAACTAATTTAAATTTTGGTATTGCAGATGGATTATTTGAAAAATTACTTCATATTGCCAGAAATGGAGTACTTTGCTAAACAAAGTATTAAGCTTTACGAAACAATTTGAAAGATTGTGTAGCGGGCAACACTGGTTAATAATACTGTCATTAGCTCTCTGGGCTGGCTGTATAGAACAGAGATAACTGTAGCACAAATTATGTACTGTTTATGGACAGTGTGCTTCGAAACGTCTAAGATTCAATGTGTTTTACTACAAAAAAGAGTCTAGCCAGGTAGTATATCATAGTTATTAAGATTTTTTGGTTATTAAATGCATAATATTATCAATTGTTGTCCATTGTACAGGTGTTTGTCTGAGCAGGACCTATCCTTTTTTTATGTGATTATTATTAAATGTTCTTGTGCCATATATTTATTTGTATATATGTATGCAACCTTGGTGATGTCGTCTTACAATAAAAGTGAAATATCCAACCAATGATGTTAAAATTGAAATAAAACGCCAAATTCGGTTTGAGCCAACTTTGCTGCTCTTAATCAAGCTATTGATTATTCATTATATCTAAACAACTCAACTAAACAACTGATATTTAAGGACCAACAAATTAAGTTATTTCAATCACCATTTTTATTTATTAAATCATTTAAAAATTTCATTATATACATAAGTTACTTACAAGAGCTATTTCAGAGATGTAGACCGGTATACCAGCACTTGCACCTCCTACGCCTATACCTCCGATCAGCCTCGCGACGTAGATAACATACAGATTCTGAGAAGCGACTAAGATAATCCAGGACAACAGAAAGCATGCCCAGAATACATAGATAGTCCCCTTCCTGCCGATGGTGTCTATACCAAAAGTGATGATGAAAGGTCCTGGAGCAGCACCAAGGGAATACAGAGAGCCAACAAGACTTTGCTCATTGCTGGTGAGGTTGAGCTTTGGAAGGATAGGAGATGACCATCCCGTCACTGCCCCAGAAGACATGTGGAGGAGGCTTGCTAAAAGAAAAAGTATTATTGGTAGATATACATTTGAGCAGCCTCATATCAAAGATGGATATTAGTCCTTTTTAAAATGTGGAGAAGAAACCAATTTTAGTATTTTGATAGATTTTACAATATCTCAATTTTCTGCTTCTCTTAATTATTTATTTAAATAACTTCATATTCTTTTTCTCTGTTTTACATTTTATTCTAAGATTACCATTTTTCATTTCTTAAGTTAACTTATTTTGATTATGTTATTTCATTAGTCCATACTTTGTTGCCGTTATTATTATTTATTTCTTAATTCTCTGTTACTGTTATTATTCTACCTACTTTAATGTCCACTCTATCTACTTCATTTTACTTTAAGTTTCTTCTATCTGTGTTTTTTAATCTAACTTTCCACATATTAATTCTATATTATTCAATGTTGATAGTTTCTCATATCTATTATTATCTGTTTTTTCTTAGCCCTGATGAAGGTCTGAACTTCGGTTGGGAACTTAACCAAATATAAAAATAAATATAACTAGTTGGCCTGTGCGAAAAAATCGCAGATAATTTTGTTTAGTAAAGAAATATTACAACAATATGGAAATAAGTAGTTCCTATGTATTCTGTAAGGAAGGAATTAATATTTTTTCCTTAGTCGGTTACAATATTCCATTCAACATAATAGAGCAAAATATTTATACAAATTGCTTTGCTAGGACCTATTTTTAAATGCTGACTGGAAAGAAAATAAAAGTAATAAAGAGAAAATAAAGCCTCGATCCTGAAATTTTCTAAATTATTAAAAAATATAAAATGTAAAAACAACCAAATGTCTTTTAGAAATAAAAAAGTTAATATAAAAGCAAGGAAAAAAAATGTAGTAGACTAATCTATTCCTAAATGCAATATCTTTAAACAGGAAGACATTATTAAGTATACCAAAACTAATGGACTGTATTTTTGTTAATAATTGTCCGATCTTTACGATTTTTTTTTTTGTTTTGTAGATTTAGTAATCTTTCTAACTATCATGGGTACAATCAAGAGAAAATGCATACTTTTTGAATTATTCTTAAATAAAGTTTTTTTTCCTCCATAACTTTTTTTCCATAAATAGGATGAGACTACTTTTTGCATGTGAAGGACAAGAATATCTTCAAAATGAGTGGTTAATCATTGGATTTGATGAAGAATTAACGGAGTTATGGCCTACCGACAAAAAAACACCTTTTAGAAATAATATATAGGATTATTTATTTCTATTATTTTTATTTTGACTGATCATCCTAACCATCCTTCCCTTCAATTATTCACTACAGTCAACCATCAACCCACAATTATGAAACCAATTTTAGTTTTATAGTTTTAATTCGAACTGTTTCTGATGATTTTATTTAAGAATGTTCTAGTCAAATTTTTAAAAATAAATCATTATAATTGGTTGAAATTGATGCTATGTTACAAAAGTTCGGTTTTTCTCTACTTTTTAAAAGTAACAGATGTCCATCTTTGATATGAAGCCACTCATTTGAATATTCTATCATATATTCATATAAATTGTAAAATAAATAAATTATATGTGCCATAGACGCGAATATAACAACAAAACCCATTTGCTAAGTACTACAGCTGCCATGTAGAAACTTTTAGTAAGAAGATTCTAATTATTTTATATCATTGGATAATCCTTCCATCACCATATAAGCATAAAAATGGCACACAGCTTTTTTTTTTATTTATCGTAAATAGTTACACTAACTTTATATATGTTACACGAAAAGGTATAAACCTCACCTTATAAACAAATTTTTTTTTTATTTATTTATTTAGCCATATAATATTCTGTCACGGGAACAATAATTATATTGATAAATGAACACATTCACACCGTATATACAACAAAATTTTTTTTTAACAAAAGTAATTAACAAACAAATTAAAACTAAAGATATAAAATAAAAACAGGTTAGAAGTTTTTTCTTAATTTTTAGCTTGAAAAAAAAAAAAAAAGAAATCCAAAAGTTATCGATGTCAGTTAGAAGAGCAGCTTTTACTTCAGCTTTTCAATTGTTATATTAAACTTGAATTTGAAGAAAATCTTGATAAGTAATGAATGCTTTAGTTGACGGGCGGAAAAAATATACGCAAGATAATCAAGTACTAAAGATTGTATTTTTTTTATTTATATGACAATTCGTTTTTTAAAGAGGTTTTTTAAAGGGCTCTAAAAAGGAATCTAATTTGGTTATAATAACAAAAAAATAACCTGGCCTACTTTCTTGGAACAACCTTTTGTTTTTTATAATCTATGATAAACTATAACTAATTTAATACATTAGTTAATATTTTTTTCTTATTTCGTACAAAAAAACAAAACGATTAATGTATAGTAATCTAAAAATCCGGGCAATGAAAAGGCAAAAATAAATAATATAAATTTTGTTTGAAATTATATAAAAAATTTTTCTCGGCTCTTAGGGCTCATTGGAAAAACGCCGGGTAATGTGTCCAATATTCTTCGTTGTAGTATCACAAAAAAAATTTTGGTTGAAATCGGTGACCCACAGACTATGTATTCTCCTTGTAATTCATCAAATTTCTTAATTATTTGAGGTTATGAAATGTAACTTAATTACTTTGTGCAATAAAATCACGATATGTTATGAAAATAAATTGTTGATAATTTACAAATTACAAATGTTTTCAGATCAGACAGTATTAGAAAATGGACTTTTTTCCGACAGAGCCCTTTCAATCCGATCTTTAGGCCACAAAAGTAGTTATGAAACCATCTTAATCACAATTTAATTCGATTTAAAATGAATACAATAGTACTCCGAATAATCAGTTCTTCAGATAAATCGGCAGTGAAATGGGAAAAATATAAAAGAGATTCACAATATTATCCGAACTTAATAATTCAGGCTTAAAGAATCATTAACATACAAAAGAGAAAATTGTTGTAATTACATTCAGTCTTAATCCGTTTATTTATTAAATTAAGGGTAATTTATATTAAGGAGATTAATGTTATTAGGTATTGTATTTTAATTTTTATCGAATAATACATATTAAATAAAAATTAGAGTTTTTCTTTCTCTCAGATTAACCCAGTTTTCTGTTTACAGGTCCATGCCTCTTTTCCGCATTTGACAAAGAAGCGGTGTTATTTTGAACTTTAAGTAGAATTTTTATCGTTGTCATGGTAAGCTGAATTGTGAGTACATCTCGATTCTGAAGAGAAAAAGAGAAATGTTATTTTCTGAGTTTTATAAAATGGTGCTTTATTCCCGAGCCAATTAACAAAAACTCCATGAAATTTTCGTTTTTGAAGCTAAAATAAATAAAAAATGGACCTTTTTTTTAGAACTAATTATTCCTAAAGGTTAAAAACATACATTTCAAACACAACATAAATTAATCCTATATATTATTTCTAAAAGGTGTTTTTTTTGTCGGTGCACCATAACTTCGTCAATTCTTCATCAAATCCAATGATTTCCTACCACACATTTTGAAGATACTCTTCTCCTTCATATGCGAAAAATAGTCCTATCCCTGTGAAATTTCTGGAAAAAAAGTTATGAAGGAAAATAAACTTTATTTGCTCTAGGAATAACTCAAAAAGTATGCATTTTTTACGGTATTGCACCCAAGATAATTAGAAAGATTACTAAATTACCTACAAAACAAAAAAAAATCGAAAAAATCGGACAATTATTAACAAAGATACAGTCTATTAGTTTTGATATGCTTAATAATTTCTTTCTCTTTCTTCCCACACTTTTTTTCCTGGCTGATATATTAACTTAATTATTTCATAAAGTCATTTGTTCGTTCTTACATTTTATTTTTTTTTTAATTCAGAAAATCCCAGTATCGAGGTTTTATTTTGTCTTTATTATCTTTCCAGTCAGCGTTTAAAAAATAGGTCCTAGCAAAACAGTTGTACAAATATTTTGGTCTATTATGTTAAATGGAACATTGTAATCGACCAAGGAAGAAATATTAATTCCTTCCTTACGTAATACATAGAATCTACTTATTTCCATATTGTTTTGCTATTTCTTCACTAAACAAAATTTTCTGCGGATTATTCTCACGGTCCAACTAGTTTCTAACTTATTTATATCTTGTATGATGAAAAATACGATTAAGATTTTGATTTTTGAACAAAAAAAAATAAAATAAAACCTTTTTATAATTTAATATTTTTTTTTGTTTTGGTTATTTTTTAAATTTAATTGAAAGCATTTTAGTAAATAAAAAACTCTTAGGTTAATATATACGAAATGATATATTACTAAATATGAAATAAAGCTTTTTACGAAGTATGAGGCGGGTTATGTTTTTTTTATGCCCAACTGAAGTGTCATTTATTGAAAATAATTTTTTTTTTTTTTTATCATAATCCATGACTTGCGGGATTTAGATGTAGATTTTAATGAGACAAGCTGAACTTTGTGGAGAGATCAATTTGGGCCCGAGAGCCTAAATGTTTGAAGACGCCTATGTTGGAGCAAGGTCAAGAGATTAGCGAAGCTTTATCAGTTGGGACAATTTCGCAAAATTATAGTATAGGTTATAAAGATAAGTTGTTTGGTTAACCTGTAATAATCCAGGCAATATTATTACAGACAATAGTATTACATTTTATATTACTACGATTGTTTTAAACTAATTGATTATTCTAATCAATGAACAGCAGAAGACCTATGACAAATAAAAATCTGAAAAGATACCCGATAACTAATACCTAAATGACTAAAACCCAACGGCCAAAACCTATCGACACTCTTTTTCCTTTTATTGACGACCTTGTCACTGATAAGAAGAGTTATCTTGTCAATAGAGTTACAGAAGATCAGCTGGCAAACATTGGCACCACAGGTTTACCTTGACCAAGTTATAAATTATGCGACAAGCTTTAATAAGTGCTTTCTTATTTAATGAGGTACTAAAAACATATGAATACCAATTTTCTTTCGACTTTAACGATAAGATAATTTAATCAGAAAATCGAGAAAAAATGCCCTATAAAAATGTTGGACCGTCTGGCCTGTATAACCTTGTTATTTTGATATGTCGTGGTTGGATGTCCCGCCAAACGACGAAATATGTTTTTAGTCCCTCTTTCTTGTCGATTTTTTGATCGAATCCTCTTACGAGTCAAGTGAAAAGAAAAGTGTTGTTAGTGAGTTTTTATTACCTTATTTATAAAACAAATTTTCCAGAAAATGGTTAATAATTATATTTTAAAAAGATGTCTGTATTATTAGAGGTTCATAAATTTGAAATTGTCACACTTCATTTCAATTCTATGATTTGAAATTGTATTTAATTAATATACTACATTATAATTCAGAGGGATTGGTAATTCTATGGATATTTAATGTAATATGTAATTTATTTTTTATTTATATATAGATCCTAATTTGTTTCTCATTATTTCCTTGGATGAAAAGCTTCTGGTTTCACTGGTGTAGTTGGCAAATATATCTTTTTGAATATGTTTTTTTATTTTCTTTAATATATCTTTTTTTGGGGGGGTCCTCCCCTTCCTCGCCTTTAAGGCTATAAGGGGTTTTCCCGAGCCAGCGGTTGTGGGCGGAGATTTAAAAGACTCCCCCGGCACCGGGACGCGAACTCGTGACTATTTTAAATCCATTGTTATAGATCAGGTTGCCGGGCAACGGCGGAGCTGTGCACACACTTTAGTCCATACGGTCACCCCGACCACATTTGTTTAATATATCTGTATATGTTATTAATATTATCAATGTTAATCATTTTTTTATTCTTTCCTAGCCTTTTCGTCAATATGTGTTTCCCCCGACATCAGGATTCGAACTCGTAATCTTTAGTTTATGAGATTGGCAGGCAACGCGTGTTTTATTGTGCGCATCTACATCTGTGAAATAAGTTCTCATGAATATTTTTACTATCAGAAGTATTAAGGTGTATTGAAGATGTATTTAAATTTGATATCCGGATCACAAGCCATTAAGAACATGTGAACCAGATATGACAAAACATTGTTAGAATACTGAGGCATGCATGAAATTATGTATAAAAAAAAAAAAACATAAGATGGAACAGAAACTGACAGTTCTTCAAGGACAACTTAAACATAATTCGATGGAGTTTCTTTCTTTTTCTTCCAGAGTAATTATCATTATAAAAAAAAAAATCTCCCTTCCCACTTAAATTATATCCTGAATCTGCTTGGGTCACCTTTACCTACAATGGGTCTTCGAGTGTCTTCCATTATCTCAATAAATTGCCTGATTATTTATTGTTTAACTCAAATAATTAATTGAACATAAAAAAAATAAGAACAATTTAAATTTGATATAATTTATCAAACTCCTTTTTGAAACTATTACTTGAAATTTCATAATCTTAAAAAAAAAAAAAAATACTTATTTATGATTAAAATGTTTTTCTATTAAACTGAAAATTTATTGTAACCATACTGTATTATTAATTTACAGTAATTTTATGTTCCATATTTACAAATCTTTTCTAGCCTTAAAAAAAAAAAAAGATTCATTTTAATTTTAATAGGAAGGTAATTCAAAACAGTAAATATATTTGTTTTCAGTGATTAATTAAAATCACAGTACTGTTCAAATGTAATCGATTTAAAAAGTAGACAATAAAAGTAGAATGGAAAATCAAAAAATGTATGTATTATTAATACTTCTCAGAGGCTATACCAAGCCACATATTAAAAATGGAAACAATTTCCGATAATTCTAAACATAATTAAAATATATATATTTTTTTCATCCTTTCAAAGGTATGAAATCCCAAAAATGTATGCATGTACGATGCTACGCTATGGTAAAGCCAGTCCTGGTGTACGATTACAAAATGTGGACGGTAACAAACTCTAGGAAAAAAAAAAATTGAAGATTTTAGAGAAACATTGTCCACACAATAGCGATCGGGAATCAGAGTACTATAGGATATAAGAGAAGTAAGGACCAATAAAGAGCGGCTTACAGAAACTGGTCAACCAATACCTCAAGATATGGAGGCTAGGAGGTTAAGCAGTATCTTTAGCTTGGAGAAATCCATCAGGAAGCCTCTACACAACAATGAATGCCTTAAGGCAAGATAATACGTAGAAATTAAAAACTGGATGGTTGCCATTGGCTGCACGCAAATAACTAGAAAGAAATGGCCCAAGATAGGCAAAGATGGATTTGGCTGGTTAAGGCCGCAAAAATAAACAAGGTCTGTAAACCTAATAGAAAAAATAAATAAGATTAAAAAATTATATAATCTATATATAAGATTTTTACTAACCATGAACGAAGTTCACACTTGCATACACAAGTTCACACGTATGAGTTTGTTACTTCTTGTGAGTGTATCTTTTCAGTAATATCTTAGTCTTCTATTTTATGTTTGGGATTTTTCAACTAGGATTGAGAGAAAAGGATTTTTGTGTTAGCCTTGGAGACACTAGTTTTAACAATAAATCATGAGAAAAATGTAACAAACAACTGATTTAGCTAATCCCAGAACATTTATCTATGCCAACGCAGCATGTATTCTTTCTGGTGATTAATGTTACAAAAACTAGTTCAATGGCGAAAAAAATGTTTAATTCAATGTTTAGTTGTTGGATGAAGTCTGATAGCATAATAGAAATACAATATTTTATTTTACATAGTGCATTATGTCTTGTATTGTAATATTGCTTAATAAAAAAAAAATATATTAGTTTTTGCTTTGTTTCCTTAACCATAATAAAGTATTTCTTTAAGGAAGTAGTGTCCTCGATATATTTAACATTGGAAGGAAGAGAAAGGATGCGGAGATTCAATGGTGTCACGTGTCCCCCCACTACCAACTTAAAATAAATTAACGTCAACAAAACCTTATTTAAATTCGTAAAAATGCAAATAAATGCAAGGAATTTATTTTTATTTAAACTCTAAATTCCTATTTTGTTTATTCTTGACATAGTTTTTAATAATGATACAATAACGAAAATTCTATTCTATTCTTGTGCCCACCCAAAAAAAAAATTAGATTTGTATACATATGAACATTATTGGCAGTTTAAGTCAGAATTTCGGTGTTATCGGAATTTTCATTGTTTTCTCTTGCAGCTTTTCAAGTAAAAATGTTTACAAAAGTTTTATTTTTAAAAATCTTTTATTTTAAAAAGTTTTAAAAGCCCGATCTAAAAAATTACTTTTATTCATAGCTACTCAAACAAACGACACATTAGACTATTTATTTTTTATTTAAATCAACTTTTAATACAAACAATTTCTTTACAACTTTATTTTTAAGAATTTTTTTTTTCTAAAATTGTTTCTCAGAAACTATTAAAATAGAACATTTAAAAATCCAGTTCCGTAAAAAAACTTCTGGTTTAAATAATTATTTTTGAATCATATGTAAAAGAGGTCGCAAGAATAAAATTTCTATTTAGGAACAATATGATCAGGATTGACTGAAACGCATTCATGTTCTCTAATGAATGATAAATTATATTTACATGTGCTAACCAAGGTCAAATGTCATCGATTAGAAATAATTACAGTCAAGATTTAAAAATAATAGCAAGGCAATATGTTACTTTGTAAATCATATAAAAATATTATATGGATGTAATTATTATTAAAATATATATATTTTTAAAAATATTATCTATATGTTATCTGTTATTACTGACCAGCTAGAACAGTTACATAAGCCCTCAAATGAGACGGACGATCTTCTTCCACAGCCTCTGTTTCCTCCATGATGGCCAACAGTTCACTGCCACAACACAGCGGAACAACGGCCGTTTATCTACGCTTGCCTATGTGATCAAGATAGCACTCGAGAAATGTCTAAGATACTATGCCCTAACATAATTTAATGTTTAGTATACTTAGGAGATCTGTCAATCTCGATTAGATTGAGCATTATGCCTTCGATAGTTGCGGGTCAAGGCAACTGGAAGGTCTTTCGCGACCGCTTAGACTAGACTGCTTGTCACTTACTTTGCCCCTCCTAAGCTTTCAAAATTAAATCCCCCCCCCCACCAACACTAAATAAAAACAAATTTTAAATTATTGGACATAAATTTATCGTTTTGATTTAGTTTTATCATCCGTATGTGTATTAAAAATGTCCTTCTTTTTTTTTTACTTTTATTATGATATTTACAACTTTATTAGTGTGAATACATCAAGTAAACGTGTACAGAGGAATATAATAACATGAAACACGCTTGTTGAGAAACTACCCATTGGTAGCACTCTAATAATTTGTCTACATGAGAAAATCACGAGGCCATCTTCTTTTCAGACGCCTCGGAGGGTTATCAGGAATCGAAGAGGAATCAAGGTTAGAAACAAGAGGATTCGGATGGTTATTAAATGTCCTTTTAAAATAGATTAATTACCGTCACTAAAAAAAAAAAATCAAGTGCGCGCAACACACAACTTTCACTTACCGCTCTACTTTGAATAGAAATTATTTTCTGACAATGTTGGACTATTTTAAAATTTTTTGAAGTGCATTTTAAACGGAGCTGAAGCTTAAAGCTTACAGATAACAAGTCATCAAGACCATTATAATTACAAAATATCTATTTAATATATCGAGGGTAGACAATACAAATCTATTCTCTCCATCTGCTTTTATAAACCACACAACTTTCTTTGCTTTCATAAACCACAGAATGTCTAATTCCAATTTCAATATTTTTGAGGGATGTCATTTTAGTGATATTTTTAGTTGAAAAAGTTATCTATGCAGACAATGAGTAAGTTGATTCCAGAGGTGGTGATTGAAGTGTTGAAATATAGAACTGAGAATAAAGGTATAAATTTAGGTATTATTTCTTATGAAAGATATTCTTAGGAAAGATACTTTATTAAATATCTGTAGAGAAAAGGTTTTTTTAGTCTCAACAATTAAAAAAGTTTTTTTTAAATTTATCCAAATTTTCGCCTCTTCAGGGAAAAAAACTAGAGACCATATCTTTCCTCCTGATTGTCCGATTTTAACAATTTTTTTTTTTTTTTTTTTTTTTTTTTTTTTTTTTTTTTTTTTTTTTTTTTTTTTTTTTTTTTTTATAGGAAATTCCATAAATTTTTAAAAATCATATACAATATCAACGAATACTTTTTGAGTTAATCGGAATTTAATTTTACCATCCCTCGTAATTTTTTTCCAGCTTTATTTCGTTGAAGTATGTTAGATAAATTTAAAAGGTATCGAGCAAATGACTTTAGCGAAGTTTCATTGAAATCGATACATTCGTTTAGGCGCTACAGACTAAAGCAACGCAGGTTTTTCTGCATTTTATTATTTTTTTTTCCTCCTTTATTAACTTATCAAATTCTTTCGAAAGTTATATGTAGCATTTTTTTATAACCCTAAATAATGCGAAATAATTAACTTTTTAAAATAAACCATATTAAAGGTACTTTAGAGGAGGACATATATGAACATTGGGCATTTAAGCCCTGAAAAGTGATATCAAGAGGATACGACCTTAATGATAATAAAGACGACTTAATTATACAATGATACACCGAGTTTAATCAAAATCGTTAGAGCCGTTTTTGAAAAAATTCTAAAAATGTGTTTCAGCGTTCATATAAAGTGGCACTTCCGGTAAGCCGATTTTAACGAAAAAGTTGCTGTCACATCCGGCTCATATACAAACTTTAACTACTTAATATCAGTTTAGTACTATTATTCGTTTATGAGCCAGACTGTTAACACACACACAGGCCATTTTGCGACACTTGGTTATTTGGTTATGGGGACCTTAAAACATGTATTTCCGTTGAAAACTGAGATTAGAAAATTTTCACGATTGCAATACTTACCCTTACTATATATTACATACATACGTAAGTGAAAGGTGTGTCCACTCACACGACTTTTCTACCTATTTCAGAAGAGTTTTTATATCTTTACATTTGTCCATTAATAAACCAAAAAAAAATGAATTAGATTAATTTTCCTGAAAATTGATCAAAGAATAGATTTCAGGACGATTCATTTGATAAACTAAAGCAATGTAAACCGACTTAAGGTAGATTGATCAGTGTAAAAATTTCAATACCCACTAATATTGCTGATCAAAAACATTTTGACATAGCCTAATTTTGTTACACAATAATTTCTGTTAAAAATGGAGGAAATAGTGAAGCTTGTGTGATGCGGGCAAGTTATTTTCTAACTTTCACTTAGTTATCATTTTTTCTCTCTCATTCATCCCTTTCTGACACCAGGATAAGGACCAGTAATCTTACATTGGAAATTGAATAGCTGTAACTTCGTTAATAGTTGTCCGAAATAAAAGATTTTTATATAGTTTTGTAGGGAATTGCATTACCTTTCAAAAAACTATGACAGTGAGTAACCAGTGTTGTTGTTTTTTCGGAGTCAGAATGCACTGAAACGTATAGATCCGTCGCAATTTGTCCCAATCGCAATACTTCTCTCACCTAGTATAGCTAGGAAAGTAATAAATTAATACCTGTGTAGAAAATAGAATAAGCTGTATCATCGTTAATACTGGTTCGATTCCGATTATTTTGATTTTATTTTGTTGGTAATTTAATTATCTTTCAAAAGTTTTATTATAAATTTTACCATAGATTTTATTATTATTTTTTATATACATATAATTTTATAATTGGCGAGTTAGGCCCAAGAAAATATTTTTCTTTTCTTTATAACCTTTTTTCCTGAATTTTCTCGGGAATTTAGTCCATGTAGAAAATTGAAAGGACAATTATTAGAACATTATAGGAAAGTTTCATCAAAATCATTAGAGCCATTTTCGCGCTACAGTCTATAAAAAAATGTTTTTCATTAATTGCGTAGCAGATATTGCGCATGGTGCATCCAATTTGTGTCGTAGACATTACTAATCAAAACCCTACAAAATAAAAAAATCAAAAAAAAAAATCGGTTCACTAGATCCCGAGAAAATCTTGGAGCAGACAGACCAATAGCAAAAAAATGTGTTTTTTGGACTTAAGGGGCTCTGAAACGTATAGATCCGTCGAAAACCGCATGTCGGAAATTTGACCCGATTGCAATACTTTCCTATAGGTATAGGTAGGAAAGTAAAAAAACATGTCCTCCAGAACTAAATCCTGGATCCGCTAATGTCTAGATCTATTCGTTATTATATTACTTATAGTAACCGACAAACAAGTTATTCGTTATTTTAAATACAATTTAAATCAGCGCTTGAAACGGAAAAAAACTTTTATTTTTAAAAAGTTTCGGTATCCATGGAATTTTTACTGTCAATGCTTTTTCTGTTCTTTTTAAACTATAACTTTTTCCTTGAAAAATTTTCAAGTTAAGATTTTACAGAAATTTTATTTTTAAATAACTTTTATTCAAAAGTTCTATCGATTTCACTAATAAGACGATCTAAAAAATTACTGTTCATTTATATGGTCATTCATAGCTAGTCAAACAAACGACACATAACAATCATGTTTAATTCATCTAAGACAAGTTATAACTTTATTCTAAATCGAATTACAGTTTATTTTTCATTTAGCGGAACTGAAAATTTTTACTATAAACCTGAAATTTTATGAAAAAAAGTTCCTTAGGCGTTTTTCTTAAAAAATAAATTATTTTTCCATTTTAGGCAGGGCATCAGATTGAAAAAAAAATCCTATTTCTATTAGATACGAGTGTGTCTAGATAGATATAGTAATAATTATATAATATATTTACAAAACGATACATATTATCGATATAATACAATATAAACATAACAATTAGAACCAGACATGGCCGAATTTATACACTCAGGCCACAAATATTCTAAGGCAAATAATACTTCTATAATGTTTTTCATATACTGGATAGTTTTTACATTATTTCAAATAATACATAAAATACATTTACCTTTCATCCTTTTGTTCAACTAAAAAAATGGAATAATTCAAGTGTAAACAATATTTCCGAGAGTTTAGTGAACACCTCTAACTATTCAGAACAGATCACAACAGAATGAGGGCACAACTCTATTTTTTTATTATTATCACTTCCCTACAACTCGGTGACGACTCCTGGCCTCCTCCGCCAGCTTCCTCCAGTCATCTCTGTTCTGTGCGGCCATCATCCAGCTCCTGACTTCCAGGACATCCCTTGAATCTCTTGGCCACACGGTCTGACCATCTTAGTTTTGGTCTGCCTCTTCTTCTTGTGCCGTAGAGAAGCTTCGTTCTCCATTCTTGCCACATGGCCAGCTCATCTCAATCTTCCAAGCTTCATCCTCAGAACGACATCTTGATCATTAAAAGTTGAGCAAATTTCGGCATTTGTCCGTCTTCTCCAATTTCCATCAATCTGTACTCTTCCAAATATTCTTCGAAGAATTTTCTCTCAAAGATTAGGAGGTCTTGCTCAATTTTTTTTAGCCTTCGTCCATGTTTCTGAGGCATAGAGCAGGTCTGGGCGGATTAGTGTTTTATAAAGATGTAGCTTGTTATGCCGGGATAAAAGGCGAGAGGTTAATTCCTTGCGAAGGGCAAAGTAACATTGGTTAGCCATTAATATTCTTTTCTTGACCTCGATCTCGAGTGCATTATCTTGTGTTACCAGTGATCCCAAATACTTAAACTGCCCTACTTTCTCAAAGTTAAAGGGGCCAATATTTATGGTCTAGCCTGGTCGAGGAACTTCTCCTGTGGCCATATATTTAGTCTTGCCTTCGTTCACTTTTAACCCAAGTGCTCTGGGGGCCCCCAACAAAGCTAAAAATCTCTCTCTGGCAGATTGCAACGACCGCCCCACGATGTCCACATCATCCCCATAGGCTAATAGATGAACCACCCGGTTGTAAATCGTCCCATTAGTTTGCAGACCAGAATCCCTGACTGCCTTCTCAAATGCCAAGTTAAACAGAAGGCATGCTAACGCATCACCTTGACGTTGAAACACAACTCTATAAGAAATTTAAAGTTGAAGAA